CGACCTTTCTACCTCTTAAAATTGAGTGTGTATAAATATATATATAACAACTTTATATTGCCAAAAGTATTGGGACGCCTTTATGCGCACGTCCAGACAAGTCCATTGGATTGCCAGACAGAGAAGCGTGATTGGTCCCTCCAGAGAACACGTCTCCACTTCTCTAGAGTCCAGTGGCGGCGCGCCAATCTGAAGGCCGCATGGAGTTTGGAGGTCTGTAGCCATTGACTCTGCAGACAGTTGGCGACTTCTGCGCACTGTGCGCTTCAGCGTGCGCTGACCCCGCTCTGTCATGTTACGTGGCCTACCACTTCCTGGCTGAGTTGCTGTTGTTCCCAGTTGCTTCCACTTTGTTATAATCCCAGTAACAGGTGACCGCGGAATATTTAGTAGCCAGGAAATGTCACGGATGGACTTATTGCACAGGTGACAACCTATCACGGTACCACGCTTGTAGTCACTGAGCTCCTGAGAGCGACCCATTCCTTCACAAATGTCTGTAGAAGCGTCTGCACCCCGAGGTGCCTCATCCTATACACCGGGGGCCATGGAGGGGATTGGAAAACCTGAATCCAATGATTTGGAGGGGTGTCCCAATACTTTTGGCAATATAGCAGTCAGCTAAAATCGTTGCAATTTAAAATTAAACCCTGCCAGCTGAGATTGCCATTAAAACGACCAAAGATCATAAAATGAGAGTGTTAAAGACAAATAGAGATCACCTAGAAAATACTAAGGGCAACCTCACCACTCCAGCTGTGGGGAAACTACAACCACCAACATGCCTCTGGGGTCATGCCTTGCAATGCCTCATGGGACTAGTAGTTCCACAACAGCTGGAGTGCCGGCATAGCCTACCCCCGTGCTAGCCTAAACGTACATCCAAGAAAGCAACAGCCTGACCAGACAAGTCCCATGAATAGCCACACATTTTCTCTGCTGGTGTTGGGACTTTTCACACCTTTTTGTGAACGCACACAGCAACAGAAGTGTCTGGGAAGGTTCTAATTCTTTCAAGTCATGCAACATCTCAAAAAACAAAAACAAAACACAAGGCAATAGGACTTGCTGTATTTTTTTCTTGAAGATAGTTCGCTGGTCATCCAACTAGCTCTCTTAATTCAGAATGAGAAAGCTGGTTGGATGATCAGTGAAACATCTTCAAGAAAAAAAAATACAGCAAGTCCAGTTGCCCCGATTTGTTTTTTTTACACACAGCAATGGAAGGCACGTTTATACAATTTGTTTTTATTGGTCAATCGATCAGAACTCACATCACTGTTGACTGTAATATTGGCGTCCTCGGTCTTCTTTATGTGAGCGGCCTGGAACAAGAGGAGAAAACACTTTGTTACCCAACACTTGGATGGACAGAGAAGGATCAACTATGCAACTGCCTACAACGCCTAGAGACAGGAATACTGAGCCTAGGGTGACGGGAGGACGCTAGTTTGTGTCCTCCCGTTACCCTAAGGAGAACTATGGGGAAAAGCCTTAACCCCATAGTTCTCCTTTAATGGGATCTCGTTAATAAACCTTACTTCGATTAATGGTGAATGTAGCAGAACGGAAATACAAGTGACGTCATTGCCGACTTAAATATGCTGAATCCAGGGCTGTCACCTTTATTCTTCAGCCCCTTGAGCTTCTGACCCGGAACAAGCATGTGCAAATCAGGCCAAAGACTTCCCAAGGAATTAGGGAAGGAAAAGGTGACAACCCAAGAACATGCGGCTTGAAAAAAAAGTCAGCACTGGAAACTCCCACATTTCTAACAATACAAGTTGCCCTTAAAGTGACTAAACTAAACTCCGGAGCTAAATCTTAAAGATACATTCAAGTCCGTGAACTATGAACAACAATGTATCTTATTTGTGTATCACTCGGCTGGAGATCCTCCAATCATCTCTGACACTTTCCTTCCTTCCTTCTGGAGGGGGGCTACTTATGTTCCCCATGGTCCCTGTGTGTGTTGTAAAGTAGTCACCGCTCCAAGCTCCACCCCCGGGATGGACTACAATCTTGTGGTTAATGTATTAATTTGTATTGGGGTTATAGTCCATCATGAGAACGAGCTTGGGGCACCCCAAAACCAGAGATGTAGAAACACCTCCCGCCACCCCCAATGCTTTCACCATCCAACATGAATACCATTCCAGGTGGTCTTTTGGTTCACTCACCGACCCCAGGTGCCAAATCACAGTGGCCCGATTCTTTCCCAAGTTCAAATGTAGAAAGCAGCACCTCCGTCACATTTAGCAAACAAAACAAAAAAAATAATTCAAAAAGCTTTACTGCCACTGGAACACATACAAAGCAGGCCAAAGCACATCCTTGGAAGAGCAGCATTAAGGTCTGTGTGCTTCAGTCTGCTGCGTATGAATTCACGTGGCAAGTTTGTTTAAAGTGATTTTCATTCAGCCTCATAATCTGAGCCGACCTGTGACAATGAGACTGTCACAGGTCGGCTCAGTAAATCGTGAAGTGAGCGAACACATACCGGCGCTCGCTCACTTCTCGATCTATCCGTGCAGAGAGCCGTGACAGGGGAGTGACTGGATTCCCCCCTCCCCTCTCTGACCGCCGGAACAGACGGGGGAGGGGGGCTCGCACAGCTGGCTCTGCCTCTAGATAGGCAGAGCCAGCTGTCACTCACGCAGCTGGGTAGATCCAGACAGTATTGTCGGGATCCATTTCGGCGTCTCAATATACCGTGAGCTGTAGCTCGCGGTATACCGAGCTTTGGGTGACGGGAGGACGCTAGTTTGTGTCCTCCCATTACCCTTAGGAGAACTATGGGGAAAAGCCCTGACCCCAAAGTTCTCCTTTAAGTCTTAAAAAATGCGGCAAAAGTCCGTCCTCCTACGATTGATCGCTCTATTCGTCACCGCTGCACCAAGCCGGTGGATGAAGGAAGCGGATCTGAATTATGGCACCCCCGGCATCCCTACCAAAATGGATACCTCCTGTGTGCGAAGATGATCCACATTGGATGGGATGCTGGGGATGCCGTACTTCACATTTACTGAAACGGTCAGACCCGCTATCAATGGCTCACTCAGACAGGTGATCCGGGGGAGATATGTTGCTGCGTTCAGAAGCAGCTAAACATGGCCTGCGAGATACAGCTGCATTCTGTGCTACGGCTGCATGCAAACTGGCCGATTAGCCGCAGCCACTTCGTGCGTGGCCAGAAAAGCCGACCCTGGACTCAATATACCTGCGTCCAGGTTCGGTCATCGCTCTACTCACATATAACTGATCGGAGGAGCGGTTACATGCCACCGGCCATAGATTTATACAGAGCGCAAATCTGACCACCACCGCTGCTGGCCGCGGCTGTTCGCCCGCTCCGTGCATGCAGCCTTCAGCTCCGGGACAGGTCATATGTACACAGCTCTTGCTGGACTCCCGATCCTTCCTCCATAGTTGCAGTTTCAGCTGCTCAGCTTACGCCGCCGTCATGAAGTGGGAGACCGTAAACGGTCAGACCCGCTATCAATGGCTCACTCAGACAGGTGATCCGGGGGAGATATGTTGCTGCGTTCAGAAGCAGCTAAACATGGCCTGCGAGATACAGCTGCATTCTGTGCTACGGCTGCATGCAAACTGGCCGATTAGCCGCAGCCACTTCGTGCGTGGCCAGAAAAGCCGACCCTGGACTCAATATACCTGCGTCCAGGTTCGGTCATCGCTCTACTCACATATAACTGATCGGAGGAGCGGTTACATGCCACCGGCCATAGATTTATACAGAGCGCAAATCTGACCACCACCGCTGCTGGCCGCGGCTGTTCGCCCGCTCCGTGCATGCAGCCTTCAGCTCCGGGACAGGTCATATGTACACAGCTCTTGCTGGACTCCCGATCCTTCCTCCATAGTTGCAGTTTCAGCTGCTCAGCTTACGCCGCCGTCATGAAGTGGGAGACCGCCAACACCCCCAGCCCCCCCGCACCCCCGTCACTGAGAGGAAGTTCCCGAAACACTCACAAATCCCGGAAAGTCGTAGTCGATGCCTTTCTCTGCCAGCCGCTTCCTCAAGTTCGACTCCTTTGTCAGCATCCTCTTCGTCATCTTCCGCTGCTGCTTCTCGGTTGCCACAATCTTGGCCACCTCCTCGCACTCGAACTCGATAAAGGCGTATCCCTTACTGTTCCCGGTCTGCGAAGCAAGAAACAAGACAAATTGTCAGCTGGGACCTCCGTGCCAGTCTCTCTCGGGAGATGGCAGCGACTGATATTTACGCTCTGTGCCCAGTAATACTCAGTAACCCCGCCCCCCTTTGTTTTCCCACACCGCTGAGAACTCGGAATCTCACCTTCTTACTCCGGGAGAGGCGGAGCCGCGTGACTGTTCCGAACTGGCCGAAATATTCCCTCAGCTGAGGCTCGTGCAGTAGATGGGGGATGTGCCCGATGTAGAGGACGCC